AGTGTTCAAAAAGTTGCTGGGAAATGTGAATAAAAAGGTGGGAAATTGAATTGAGGGCTTCGTTTTCAACGCGTGTTCTATTTAAATATATGCTAATAACTCGCGAGGAGAATCTTAACAAGATTATGGATCATTTAATCTGCGAGTGGAAAGAAAACTTTGATTGTTTGTACGGTTTGATAATATTTAAGTCTTTAATTTTATTCCTCCTTGGGTTACTGTTTGATGAATATTTCCCTGTTGTTACAGTTTTATCAAATTTTTAATTGGCAATAAGGATGTTGCTGTTGAAAGAGGAATTTGTAAACATTAATTAAATATTAATCAAATGTTGGTTAATTTGTAAATATAGCATATATTGGCGACGTTGTGAATACAGTAGTAACTTTAGCTTTTCGATAACCCTTCGAATGCAGCTTGGTTAATTCGTGTATGAATTTACATATCGCGCAGTTCACTGGCTGTTTTACAACAGACTCGTTCTGATCCAAATGCATTCCGTTCCCGGTTCCTTTTTCCGACGTTAAATATATGCGCGCGCACCACCGCGCCGCGGGAACAGTAATCGCGGGCCGACGTTTTTATCCCCGCGCAATCCGTTTCGACATTGTTTCTTTTTTCCCAGGTTTTTCGTCCGCCACGTGTGCTTTTACGCATTTCTTTCGCTGGAAATTCGTCTGGGTATTCAAAAATTCTGTCGAAGTATTTCTGACTTCGGTTTTTTTATACTTCAGGATAACATTTCAAAGAGTTTCGAAGGTGTAAAACATCATTTGCCCCCTTTGACTTTAAATCAAACATTACTTTTGTGCCATCGATTGCTACAATTTACAATAAACGAAGACATAAGGTATCTTTTCTCCTTTAATGAATTAGTAACAACAAAGTAATCCCATCGAGTGTTGCAAGAGAAATCTCTGGACAAGAAGTTAAACCTTTAACTACCAAATCTCCTCGATAAACAGTGTTAATTGACTACCAATGAAATACTAGTCTTCTCCTCATTCACTAGTGAACATAAAATGATTGCCACTCAATTCCTAACATCGAAAGCTTTCCGTTTCTATACAAGAACAAAACTGAAACCCGAACTCAAAGAAACAAGATTCACTGCTCCTCTTGAACGTCACGAGTTACGCAGTTAAAGGGTAAGTAACTAATGCATATTCGCGCGTGGCGTGATAAATAAGAAGGAAAATTGCTTATAGAATGGTCCGTTACTCTAGCTTGCGCCGGCGAGAGCCGTGGAACCGTAAAGCTCGCTGAATTAGCCAACGGGGAACACAAAAGCGTAAATAAACGTATCGTCGGGCGGAAAAATCGTGCACGTTTTCCGGCTGTGGGGCAGATAAAAACAGGAGAGGAGCGACGGTGAACAGTTAATAAACATGTGCCGGCCTCGGGCTCGATTTTTCCTCCTTCGCCGGCCGCTTGCACAATCGTAAATCCTTGACGGCGGTCCGTGCCGCCGCGTTTTCTCATTTAGCAGCGAACTTATCGCGCCGCGTCTAATTGATCCTGCGCGCAGCCCCGCGGAACACCGGGGGAAGGCCGGTGTTCCGCGCTTCGATCCGTCGATCCATCGATCACCGCCGGAAACGAGAAGGGCCCCGACTTGTCCCGATGAACAAGCTTTCCCGTCTTCGCAACGATTTAACAGCGCCCGCGTCAAGGAAACGTTCTCGATTGTCTTCCGGATCGATCGAACGCTACGTAAACGCTCGAATTCGGGGCGATACGACTGGAATAAAATGGAATCAGGAGAATTCGAAATGGAATTGAGAATTCGGAATTGAGGTGGGAACTTGAATTGAAGTGGAATTGAAAATTGGAAATTCGAAATTGGAATTGAAATGAAATTTAAGATTGAAGATTGGAAATTACAAATTGAAAATGGAATTCGAATTGAAATGAAATTGAAAATTTGAATTGAAATTGGAATTCGAATTGAAATGAAATTGAAAGTTTGAATTGAAATAGGTATTCGAATGGAATTGAAATTAAAATTTAAATTGAAATTTGAACTAAAATGAAATTCGAGTATTACACGGGGAGTTTTCACGATTGACTTCAAACTCTATCGAAGTCGATGAAAGCACAAATTTCAACAAAATTAAAGCGAAATTTAATATACTTTCTCATCAAACTATCGAGCATCAATCGAATCCGCGATTCCATCGATTCATTTCTGGGAACATAAATTTGCATTTGGACACGCAGTCGAGTACTCGCTTAACGAACGAGGTCGTGAAAAAAATTACAAGACAAACTGTTTTAAATTAATTCGAAGGAAAGCACGGTTCTTAATCACGAAACGAGATCAAAGAAACTTGAAAAACAGAACGAATTACAGAAACTCCATTCCGGTCGCGCGAACGGTGGCATAAAAGGATCAATTAAAGAGACGGAAGGAGTTTTACAAAGAAAAACAGTCTTGTCTCTGTTTACAACAAGTCTAACCATCAACCGTAGATTCTATACGCATCATTGACTTCATGACCTAACTTAGACCTTAAGTATTAATCACAAATGCAAATATCAATTGGTCCAATGATTTACAGGCAATTATTTCACCACTAAAGCCTAATGAAAAATATTGGACTTGTAACATAATTACGTTCTCCTGAACAATTTACTTAAGATTAACGATTAAAGTTAGTAGCTACTTCCTATTATTATTATCACTCGTTATAATTACCTTAATCTCAATTGCAAATCAGTAACAGTTAACGATTAACGGTGCACAACAACTTGTAATCATATTACCCATTATTATGATTGGTATTGAGATATTTCTCGATCGCCATCGGCAACGTGTAATCAGATTACATTCAATTCTATTCCGGTTCGAGGAGTGTCTTCGTGAAAAAAGAAATTCGCTCAGCTTATGTTCCCCGGGCAGCAGCGAATTGCGTTAATGAACGCTTCATAAATCGTTGGAAAAGCATCTGCGC